CGTGCATCTGGATTTCCTCGGACGTGCTAAGGCAAACTCCAACGGGCCAACCCATTTTATCCGTCTGTATTCGTTTCCATCCACGCGGATGAAAACCATGCCTAATGGGATGGGCATATAAATCGATGACCAAAATACCAAACCGAACTAACTGAGACCGAACTCGAAGGCACCAAAACCAAATCCTTCGGTCATAAATTCGGTCAGCCCATCCGTAAAACCGAACTTTCTTCGATTAATTCGGGTATATGTATCGAGCATCCGGATACACCGAAGCACCGAGAAATAGATCGAATCCAGAGAAACCTACGTAGCCCACGGCCCAACTACTCAGCCCGGAGAGCGATAAAATCCTTCTCCCAGTCCCTACTGCATTTGCATCGGCAACTCTCGATGCACGCCCGCACCCTAGCCGCCGCCCGCCTGCTAGTCTTTCGGTTGCCGCAACCTAGCCGCACCCTGCATACTACTTCTATCCATCCCCGTGCACACGTCTTCAACGTATATATAATTTTTGATTGTTACATACTATTATATTATCTGTTTTGGATATTTTATATGCATTAATATGTTATTTCATATTATTTTTGAGACTAAGTTATTAACTTAGAGCCCAATGCCAGTTTATATTTTTCCTTGTTTTTTAGCTTCGCATAAAAAAAATACCAAACAGAGTCCAAACGGAATAAAATCTTCGCGATGATTTTTCTTAGACCAGAAGACAACCAGGAGACTTGGAGTGCAAGTCAGAAGAGTCACGAGGCGGCCACAAGGATGGAGGGCGCGTCCAGGGGTAGGGCACGCCCCCTACCTTGTGGGCCCCTCGGTGACCCCCTGGCCTAGATCTTCCTCCTATATATTCACATATATTCCCAAACCATCAGAAGTATCCACAAAAACACTTTTTCACCGCCGCAACATTTTGTTCCCGTGAGATTCCATCTTGGGGTCTTTTCCGGCATCCTGTCGGAGGGTGATTCGGTCATGGAGGGCTTCTACATCAACTCTATTGCCCTTTCAATGAAGCGTTAGTAGTTTACCTCAGATCTATGGGTCCATAGCTAGTAGCTAGATGGCTTCTTCTCTCTCTTTGATTCTCAATACCATGTTCTCCTCGATGTTCTTGGAGATCTATCCGATGTTATCTTTTTTTGCGGTGTGTTTGTCAAGATTCGATGAATTGTGGATTTATGATCAGCTTATCTATGAATATTATTTGAATCTTCTCTGGATTCTTTTATGCATGATTTGGTATCTTTGTAATTCTCTTCGAACTATCAGTTTAGTTTGGCCAACTAGATTGGTTTTTCTTGCAATGGGAGAAGTACTTAGCTTTGGGTTCAATCTTGCGGTATCCTTTCCCAGTGACAGTAGGAGCATCAAGGCACGTATTGTTTTGTTGTCATCAAGGATAAAAAGATGGGGTTTACATCATATTGCTTGAGTTTATTCCTCTACATCATGTCATCTTACTTAATGCGTTACCATGTTCTTCATGAACTTAATACTCTAGATGCAGGCAGGAGTCGGTCGATGTGTGGAGTAATAGTAGTAGATGCGGGCAGGAGTCGGTCTACTTGACACGGACGTGATGCCTATATTTCATAATCATTGCCTTAGATAACGTCATAACTTTGCGCTTTTCTATCAATTGCTTAACAGTAATTTATTCACCCATTGCATTATTTGTTATCTTGAGAGACGCCTCTAGTGAAACCTATACCCCCCGGGTCTATTTTCCATCGTATAAGTTTTCGATCTACTATTTTGCAATATTTTACTTTCCGATCTATAAACCAAAAAACCCAAAAATATTTACTTTGTCATTTCTTTAGTTTTATCTATCTCTACCAGATCTCACTTTTGCAAGTGACCGTGAAGGGATTGACAACCACTTTATCACGTTGGGTGCAAGTTGTTTGATTGTTTGTGCAGGTATTAGTGATATGTGCATTGTCTCCTATTGGATTGATACCTTGCTTCTCTAACTGAAGGAAATACTTATCTCTACTTTGCTACATCACCATTTCCTCTTCAAGGAAAAAACCAACGCAAGCACAAGAAATGGCAGGAAGAATTTCTGGTGCCGTTGCCAGGGAGATCTACGCCAATTCAAGACATACCAAGTACCCATCATAAAACTATCATCTCTTGCATTACATTATTCGCCATTTGCCTTCCGTTTTCTCTCCCCCGCTTCTAAAACGATTTTCGAAAAGATTTGCCCTTTTCTTCGCCCTTCGTTAGTTCGTCTTTTCGTTTGTCCTTATGTCTTACTTGGTTTGTTTGCTCGTTTGCTTGGTATAATTGTGTGTTTATTCAAAATCAGAATCAAAGAGTTTATGGATCCTCGTCCACTTGCTAATCTTTTTAAAAGAACCAACTATGATGAACCAATTGCTAGTGAGTTGTGTGCACTAGATTATCTTTATGAAATTTTGCTTGGAATCCGTGAATTTGAAAATTGTGATGAAGTGCTTTATGAAGTGATTCACGATAGATCCTTGAATAAAAAGTATAATTGCAATGATGTTATTATAAATTCTCTTAATGTCAATGTGTTAATGATATGCAAAACCCTAAGCTTGGGGATGCTAATTTTGCTATGTCCACTACTTATTGTGATAATCATGATTGGGGTGATTCTTCTTATGATCCTGAAAATTTATTTAATCCCCATGATGAATATGAGATTGATAATAATGTTTGCAATAATATTGAAAGTGGGATTAGAAGAGTGTCAACTTTAGGAAATAATGATCCCACTACTTTGGAGATTGATAAATCTTATGAAGTTTTCGATAAAAGTGGGTTCGGAGAGGTCATGACTTTATTTTATGATAATCCCACTATTTCGGAAGAGTGTCAACTTTGCATGCATGTGGATCATGAAGAGAAAATTTGATGTGATAGCTACATTGTTGAATTTGATTATGATCCTACATGTAATTATTATGAAAGAGGAAAAATATGGTTGTAGAAATTTTCATGTCACTAAATTACCTTTCATTATGTTGAGATTGCTATTGTTTATTTCTTCTTCCTTGCATATGCTAGTTTTTGCTTGTCTTAATAATTTTTTTGCTTATATGATGCCTATGCATATGAAGTATGTTAGACTTAGATGTGTTCATCACGTGTTTTATGATTCTCTCTTTATGCTTCAATTCTTGTCTTTCGTGTGAGCATCATTAAAATTATCAGTGCCTAGCTAAAAGGCTTTAAAGAAAAGCGCTTGTTGGGAGACAACCCAATATATTTCCTTTCTGTTCTTGAATAAATTACACATTATTACTTCTATAGTAATTGTGTTTTGGTGTTTTAATTAGTGTTTGTGCTAAGTAAGACCTTTAGGATGGCTTACGGTGATAGTTGTTTTGATCTTGCTGAAAAACAGAAACTTTTGCGCTCAGGAAAACAATTCTCATTTTCAACAGAAGCCTGATAAAATACTGGTTATTTTTGCAGAAGATTAATACACAAATTGCCAAGGTTGTCCAAATTTTTCAGAACTTTTGGAGTTACATAAGTATTCGAGACTTACAGATTACTACATGTTGTTCTGTTTTTGACAAATTGTGTTTTCTATGTGTTGTTTGCTTATTTTGATGAATCTATGGGTAGTATTAGGGGGTATGAACCATGGAAAAGTTGGAATATAGTAGATATTACACCAATATAAATAAAGAATAAGTTCACAAGAGTACCAAAAGTGGTGATTTATTTTCTTATACTAACAGAGCTTATGAGATTTTCCGCTGAGTTTTGTGTTGTGAAGTTTTCAAGTTTTGGGTAAGGATTTGATGGACTATGGAATAAGTGTTGGGGAACGTAGTATTTCAAAATTTTGCCTACGCACATGCAAGATCCATCTAGGTGATGCATATTAGTGAGCGGGGAGAGTGTGTCCACATACCCTCGTAGACCGAAAGCAGAAGCATTAAGTAACGCGGTTGATGTAGTCGAACGTCTTCGCGATCCAACTGATCAAGTACCGAACGCACGACACCTCCGCGATCTGCACACGTTCAGCTCGGTGACGTCCCTCAAACTCTAGATCCAGCTGAGGCCGAGGGAGAGTTTTGTCAGCACGACGGCGTGTTGACGGTGATGATGAAGTTACCGACGCACGGCTTCGCCTAAGCACTACGACAATATGATCTGAGGTGGAAATCTGTGGATGGAGGGCACCGCACACGGCTAAGAATCAACTTGTGTGTCTATGGGGTGCCCCTGGCCACGTATATGAAGGAGGGGAGGGAAGAGGTGGCCGGCCCTAAGGGGGCGCGCCAGGTGTGGGGAATCCTACTATGACTCCCCAGTCAAGTAGGATTCTGAAACGTCTCCAACGTATCTATAATTTTTGATTGTTCCATGCTATTATATTATCAACCTTGGATGTTTTATATGCATTTATATGCTATTTTATATGATTTTTGGGACTAACCTATTAACCCAGAGCCC